CCTGTCATGTTTGGAACTACAGCTTTATCTTTGCACCCTGAAAACAGTACCAAAGTTTCTTAAAAGATGTCCGAATCTGAAATCCCTAATCTTGGTAATGACTTGCACAAACAAACTCTAGAGTTTAACTCAATACACTTACAAGATTTTGTTTGGTGTTATCCAAAATTCACTCATCCATTCTGAATGTTTTGTGTATTTACAGGATTTACTTTATTCCTCGGTGGCAGAACAAACAAGACTCTCGTCCGTGCCTAGGTGTTTGCGATCATCGCTCGAGTTTGTAGAGATAAAACTCAGGTTCCATGTAAAGCCTATCGAAATGGAACTCGCAAGGTACTTTGCAAAGAACTCTGTAATCCTCAAGAAACTTGTTATTCGTTTGGAAGATTCCGTTGAAGAAGACGATCACGCTGTGTTAATCGCTCTTCTTACATTGCCGAGGCGATCTAGAATATGTAACATAGAGGTTATTGGACCGAGAAGATGACTTTTATGTTTATCTGTGATCAGAGTTTAGATTGGATTAAAATCAAAAACAGTGTGGGGATTTTGATTTTGTTAAACTCTGTTATTTGTGTTTTTTGTGAGCTTTGATCAAACAACTCTTGGATGATGTTTGGGATTCCAAAAATTCTTTAAAGGTTTTTGATTTTGTTGTCATGAAGATCTCTTGCCACACTTCCTAGGTATATATCTATGGAATTCATATACATATATAATGGTCATTCATGAAATCATTTCTCACAAATATTTACATCTCTTTTCTTTTTCTTTGTGAGTAGTTCATCTTAGAAGTTATGCGAGTACCTCAATTTTGCAATCTGTCCTACTTGGAAGCAGATTTTTCTTTAAGGGGCCTAAGATGTCTGCCAAATTTTCTTAAAAACTTTCCAAATCTAAAATCCCTAATCTTGGTAATGAACTAACTTGCACAAACTCTTCAGTTTAGTTCAGAAACTTGTGCAATGTGTTACTATGATCAAACAGTCTTAAGTAAAGCTCATGGATGATGTTTGAGGATTCCAAAGTGATATTGTCTGATTTGCCCTTGTTTAGATCTCAAATTCAAGTACACATTTGATATTTCTTTTTTTATTTAACGGATTTAGTTAGGTATAAAATTGCTTGATATTATCTTAACCAAAAATCCCGCGGGAAAAAAACAGATAAATCAAAAGATATATGTTAGATTCTTAGAAACCAGATAATTTTCCTAAACCCTAACCCTATAAGATGAATCTCCTGAAGCCTCTGGTGCTAATGTAATTGACGGTGAGTTCTTATTTCTTCTAACCATCCTCTTTTGATGCAGATCTTGCGTGTGTCTCAAAAGTTAAGCAAACAATGAGCAAGAAGAGAGGAGTAACAGGTCAGGATAGGATAAGTTTGTTACCTGATCATTTGCTGTGTCAGATACTCTCTGATCTTCCTACAAAGATTGTTGTTAAGACTAGTGTTTTGTCCAAGAGATGGAAAAGAGTCTGGCTTTCGGTTCCTCTAGCCAATTTTGACGTTTCAGAGTTCCGTGGTTACTATGAATTTGCGAGTGTTGTCCATGGCTTTCTAGATATCTCTAGGGAGATATGTATACACAAGCTTAAACTTGCTCTTAAGAGATCACACAATGCGGTTGATCAGTCTTACTTGACGCAGTGGATACACAAGGCGGTTATGCGTAAAGTTCAACATTTGGATATTTTATCATGTCGTTGGAGTTATTTAGGTATGGAGCTGATGCCCTTTAGCCTTTACACCTGTGAGACTCTTGTATCCTTGAAACTCCATTATGTGTCATTGCCTGATTTTGATTATGTTTCTCTACCTCGTCTCAAGATCATGCATTTAGAAGACAACATTTACCCTAATGATGCTCTTTTGGAGAATCTTATCTCATCTTGCCCAGTTCTTGAAGATTTAAATGTTGCTAGAGATGTAGAGAACATAGTTAAGGTTTTACGAGTGCGTTCTCTGTCATTAAAGAGTCTCATACTTGTTCTCGATGGTGATGGGTATACTGATGATGATGGTTGGGAGGTTGTGATTGATGCTCCTGGACTCAGCTATTTGAGTCTTAGAGATGACCAGTCTAAAAGTTTCGTATTGAGTAGTTTGAGTTCACCTGCCAAGGTAGATTTTGATATCAGTTTCGATGCGGTGAGAAGTGTAGTGAAAAACTTCTTCTCCAGGCTCTCGAGCGTAAGGGACATGACTATGAGTGGAACAACACTGAAGGTATATGTACATGTCAATGAGAGTAACTGAGTATTTTAACGTCTCTTTTGATGAAAAAAGTTGTCTTTTCTTTGTGTTTTCAGGTCCTCTCTCGCTACATGAGACAAGAACCGCTGCCACAGTTTCCTAACATGATCCGATTCTATGCGGTCTTTTATAACTCTGATTTGGAAAAGCTACCAAACTTTCTTGAGAGCTGTCCAAATCTCAAATCTCTTGTACTGGTGATGAATTTGGCTTAAACTTTTACCTTATGGCTTATTACTCACATCATCATTATAAAGGTAACTGATGATCTTATAATTTGTCTACTTCTTGAATGATTTTTATATACAGGAGCTGGAGGAATTTAAGAAGAATGAAATACTTAATCTCTCATCATCAATTCCAAAATGTTTAAGATCATCCCTGGAGTACGTTGAGATTCATACACGGATAAGCGGAGCTGAACCGGAGATGAAACTAGTAAAGTACTTCCTCGAGAATTCGGCAGTGCTCAAGAAGTTTACGCTGCGATTGGGTTGTAAAAGAATGGAGGAAAAGTCTATCATCTTCATGGAACTCCTGAGATTTAGGAGATGTTCTGCTTCGTGTGAAGTTGTTGTTAAAGTTTGAAGGGACTATATCCAACAGTAGTGATACACAAGTTTGCTTTTTCAGTTATTTTTTTATTCATTAGATTTCATTTTTTTATTTCTCACAACTTCTCTTCATAGTCAACTCCCATCTCTAGTTTAGATCTTTATTTTATCTTTCCATCTAAAGCCATTGCAAAGGAAGCTTTTCTTAAGCAAAGAGAATCTATAGACTCTTTGTAGCGAATCTGTGGGGGCCGGCGACAATCGCCGGCTTTTGGTTTCTTCAGAAGCGAAAAATCGACGGTGACTTTTCATTTCTCTCTCAAATATTCCTCTTTTGACCATTAGTATGTTAGATGAATTATTGAATAGTGGTATCAATATGAAAATCCAAATAGTCTCTTTAAAACTCTCGGTTCGCATCTTTGTTTGTGATGCAGAGAACTGGTGTTAAATGTTTTTCCCAAAAGAGAAATCAAATGAGTAACCGAGGAGCAAGTCATAGATCTGGAGAAGATAGGATAAGTAGCTTACCTGATCATTTGCTAAGTCAGATACTCTCTAATCTTCCTACGAAGAATGCGGTTACTACTAGCATTTTGTCCACCAGATGGAGAAATATCTGGCTTTCAATCCCTATCTTGGATATAGACATTGTTGATGTCACTACATTCGTCACTTTCGCCTCTCGGTTTCTAGATTTCTCTAAGGATTCATGCTTACACAAGCTCAAGCTTTCTTTTGGGAGGGAAGATGTTGATATGTGTACAATCATGCCATTGATCGAAGATGCATTTAAGCGTAAAATCCAACATCTTGAAGTTGACAGTAGTGTGGATGAAATGATTGATATGCTGCTTCTAACCTTTTACTTATCTGAGACTTTGGTTTCATTGAGACTTCATTTTGTGTTGCTGCATCGTTTCGTGTTTGTGTCTTTACCATATCTAAAGGTGATGCATTTAGAAGATAATATATACAATGATGGTAATACTCTGGAGAACTTGATCTCATCCTGCCCGGTTCTTGAAGATTTAACTGTCGTTAGGAGTGTAAATGAAACAACCGTTAAGGTTTTACGGGTGCGCTCTCAGTCACTAAACAATCTCAAACTCGTTCTTGATAGTTCCAAGTGTTGGTATAATGATGATAGTGACGATTGGAAGGTTATCATTGATGCTCCTCGGCTCGCGTATCTGAGTCTTAAAGATGATCAGTCAGTGAGTTTTGTGATGAGCAATTTGGGTTCATCCGCAAAGGTAGATATTAATGTCAGTTTTAATGTGTCCGATATTTGGGAACTCGAAGACTCCTTCGAGAGAAGCAATATCGGTAAATTACTCACCGGGCTCTCAAGTGTAAGGGACATGACTATAAGTGGAAAAACTTTGAAGGTATATATATATACACATATATAAAGCTGAACATTTGAATGTTGTCTCTTTGGAAGAAAGTTGCAATTTCTTTGTGTTTGCAGATCATTTGTCACTACTTGAAGGACGAACCGATGCCTCAGTATCGTAACATGACGCGGTTAGAAGCGAAATTCTATATTTGTGATTTGAAAATGTTGCCATGCGTTCTTGAGAGCTGTCCAAATCTAAAATCCCTTGTCTTGGTAAATGATTTTGCTTTAAAAACCACATGTTTCACTTTTTCACTGTTATAAAAGACGTTTTATTCATCTGTTTGGGATAATAAACATATGCAGAAGCTGAAAGGTGTAATGGAAAATGAAGAAGAAATAAGTTTACCATCATCATCAGTGCCAAAGTGTTTGCTATCAAGCCTTGAGAATGTTGAGATTAGAAGTTACAAAGATGGAAATGGAGCAGAGATCAAACTATCAAAATATTTCTTGGAGAATTCGCAAGTCCTCAAGGAGTATAAGCTATGCAAAGATTTTCATAGCGAAGAACAAGAGTCTATCGTCGTTAGGGAACTCATGACACTCCACAGATGTTCTAGTGCTTGTGAAGTCAATGTTGTTAGATTTCAAAGATGACGTTTGAGTTGCTTGTACTTGTGATTTTTCTACTTTAATTCAGTTTATTTCGAAGAACTTTGGTTCCAGTTGTAACACAAATTTGAATTTGGTTCAGAATCGGTTCGAATAGTTTCAGTTTAATTTGATTTGACTTAGCTTCTATGCCTCAATTTAGGCGTTTATACTCGGTAATTATTGACAGGAATAAACTGATTTTATGTTTGCAATTGGAGTCTTCTTTCTCATATCAGCAATATTCATATACTGAATTACATAGGAAAGTAGAAATTGCAATACTCTAAATAGCTCTTCCGATAAAAAGTTTTAAAATAAAATAAGATAAAAATCCAAAAGCACCCTTCAAGACTTAAGTGGTTCACCATCTACTGAAAAACCCAAAACCTCTCCTTGATATCCACCTCCTCATTAAGCTCTACCCTTGCCCTTGCCCTTGTTGTTAGAACCACCAAATTGTTTGCCCGAATTGAATCTGTACACACACAACATCAATACACATCATCAATGATTAGATCACATCATCAGGCTATGAGAAAGATGAAGAAAGAACTACTTACTTCTTGTTACCACCGGATGATTGACCTCCAGCCTTGGGGCTCTGGTTAGCATTCACAGGAGACTTTCCACCACCCTTCTTAGCTGGGTGTGGTGTGGCTGTGTGTCCTCCTTTCTTCTTCTCTTCTGTATTAATAACACAATATGGATCTCGTTCATCAGTATACAAATAAAGTTCTAAGAAAGCTCTCTATTCCCCTCATCATTCTGATTATTTTATCATAGTTCTACTCGAATGAATCATCTAACCATAAGATCAGGACTAAAAATCTACAAAGATAAAGAAACAGTATCATCTATTAACCTGTCTTCTGAGGAGTAGCTGCTGGTGCTGCTGATGGCTTTGCCTTCTTTCCCGAGACAGGTGTTTTGGATGTAGATTCATTAGGCCTCTTCTTGTTGATTGGCTCAGGCTTTTCATAAATTATATGAAACAGTAAGGTGAGAAAAAAGATTATGTAGAAAGAAAGATAACAGATCAAATGTTAGTTAGACAAATGTATCTACCTTCTTGGGAGTCTCTTCTTCTTCTTCCTCTGATTCATCCTCCTCATCATCTGAATCATCCTCGTCAACATCCATCTACAAAAATCACCACCAGAGAATCACCCTAGTCAACTCCTGAACGCATGTATACATATAATATCTGAAGTAGAAACCCAATTCATAGACAGAGATACAAAAACTCACTCCTTTCTCAGAGTCATCATCATCAGCAGACTCATCTTCCTCGTCAGAGGAATCCTCATCATCTTCTGATTCAGGCTTCACTTCTGCAGGCTTCACTTCTGCAGGCTTAGCCTTTGGCTTTGAGTCAGCCTTGACAACATTCGAAGCAGCTGCTCCAGCATTTCCTGAAATGCAATGGAAAACAAAATTTGAGATCACAACTTTTCAAGATAAGAAACAAAGACATCAGTAGCATCTACAACACATACCATTGACAGCAACAGCTGCAGGAACAGGGGCAGGAACAGCTTCAGGAACATCCTCCTCTTCTGAACTAGTGTAGTCCTCACCATCATCCGTGGAAACACAATCAACAAGAATTAAGGAACACACAATTCCTAAAACATATAACTTAACCTTTTTTTGTATTTTCCATCATTAATAGATAAACAAAGACCAAACACATTAAACAAAACTGTCAAAAAGGATATTGGTCGATGTTGGGGGATCTGTAGCCAACGAAGTGGACGGTTCCTTTGGTACAATTGTGGGAAATCTCAAACTCTTTCTCAAAGACCAAATCAAAGCTAATCTGAGGGAACTTCTCTTGTGAAAGTGTTCCAATAACAAGCTTAGTCCCATCAACAGTGACAGTCAAAACCACAGATTCTCCAGATTTCACTTTGCAGTCAAGTGAAGCCTACGCATAAAGAGAACCAAAACATCAAGAGACTGTTTAAGCTAAATCCTGAAAAGTTTTACTATTTGGAAATCTGAAAGATAACCTGAGAAATGTGGACAAGGCTGTCATCTTCAGGAGTCACCTTAGTAGGCTTCCCTGGTTTCACTTCAACTCCTAAATAACATTATACAAAGCAATCAAACATAAATCATTCATCAACATGAGAAACATCTAAACAAAATCCAAGTTGATACCGAAACCAAGCTCTATGTTGAAATAGTTACAACCTAAACCCTAAATAAGCTCCAAACGCAACAAAGTATGAACAGATACATGATTCAACAGGTTAAAAATCGTTGAGAAACTCTTCGAAGAAAGAAACGAACACGAATACAGCAAAATACGAGTCTCTATGAACAATCGATCAAAATTCTCGGAACATGAAAAGAGGAAACAGTAGAGAAGATATAAGAAGAGAAGAAGAAGTCAGATTCTTACCCCAGAACTCCATTGTTGTTGAACGTGGAAGAGAGAAGTTGTTGTTAGGGTTTTTTTTAGAAGCAAAAGAGAGAAATTGCAATGAAAGAGGCAGAGAAGAGAAGAGGTTTTGGCCCTTTTTATAATCGAGAGAGGTTTAAGAAGAGCCTCCTTTAGGGTTCTTGGCGTGTCTATACGCCGTCGTTTTACCCTAATTTCGTAACGCTTGCATAAATTTGGAATATTGCGTAATATTAAAAAAAATTGTTTATTTGGTAAAGATCCTAAATTCATAAATGAAAAATTAACTTAAACATTCCGAGATTATTCGATTCTCATAACTTATGATTAAGAAAATAAAATAGAATAAATCTTTAGTTTTTCTTTTTTAGAAAGTTTTTTGGTAAATAATATTCAACAAAAAAATAAATTCAAATGATCTTGTCCACCAAAAAAAGAAAAGCCTTGAAGGTACATAAGAAACTCGAGCTAAAGCTACAGAAGAGAGACTCAAGAAAAGACTGGAGGAGTCTCTGCAAACAGATCAGAACATTTTGTCTGAATTTGCAGCGACAAAACTGCGCTCATGTCCCCAACCGGTGTTTTCCAGAGGCCGGAATCTCTGAGGTCTTCACCGGAGCTGTTATCGGGAGAAGAAGAACATGGTGCATTGCAAGATAGTAGTCGCGATAGAGACATTAACTGAGACTGGGGTCTTGAGCTTCCATAGCTTCTTGGGACAGAACCTCGGTTTGATACCTTTACCATCTTCAATCCGGATTTGTTTCTTGGCAATGGAGGAAAATGGATAGAAGCTGATGAGTTATCTGCACCTTTGATGATTCCTGTGTTCACTTTTGATGGTTCTACTCGATGTTGTTTCCATGCTAGAAACGAGCTTTCTAGTCTTGATTGTACCTGCCAAGTTCACATATATCAATACTAACTTCTTCTAATCGACACAAACCGAAATTATGCTGAAAAATAAGAGAGAGTATTACCGCGGGAAAGAGGGTACACGAAGCAAAAGACAATGAGGATGAAGAAAAAGGAGAATTCTTCCTTCCCTTGTCTGCAGATCCAAAACTTGATGGCCCAAGATCATCTTCATCATCGTCATCATTGTCATCATCATCATTATCCTCATCCTCATCATCATCATCTTTGTATTTCTCTTCTTGTTTCTTCTCTTGTATCTTCTCTTTGGCAGTGACAACTTTCTCTTCTTTATAAACCGGGACCAAAACATCTTCATCCTCTTCAGCCAAACCCATTTCAGTTTTCTTTTCCTCTTCTTGTTCTTTCTGCTTCAATACTTCATCCATATCTTCTATAGCTTCCTCTAAGCAAATCTCAGCCTCTACTAACTCAAGCTCATTCTGTATCATCTCCTTTCTCTCCTCGTTTGCTTTCTTTTTCTCTTCTGTCCATTTCTCTAATCCGTCAAGCATTGGCTTCACCGATTTCTCGATTCCAAGTACGAATCTTTTTATTGGGTGTTCCTTTTTCACTGCCACTTCTTTCCCATAGAACTCGTCGTAACCAAGTGGCAGAAACTCAACTTTAGAAGGATCCACATCTTCTCCTTCCTCCAGAGGAGGCTGCCAAAATAGTCGAATGCCGTGCTTTTCGTCCTCTACATAGTTGATTATTCGACCTGTTGGTGTATGTAAAATAACAGGGTCCTCCTTCTGGACAAGTTTTGAAGGATCATTTGGATCAGGTTCAGGTTCTTTGTTCAGTAAGACAAACTCTGGTGTCACCTCCACTGATCAAGAAAAATAAAACACAGAAAAAATCAGTAGAACATAAAAATATTCAATCATGTAAGACTAAAATCTTTAAGAGTCATTACCATTTTCCCACCAATGTTCGAGCTCAGCAGGCATTGGTAACCTCAAAGGAGCTTTGTAAAAAGAGTTCAACCACATTTCCCTTTCTTGATCCACCTCGTCTACATAGGTTTCCCAATACTCAGGTACCTACCAAAAAGACAGATTCTTATGTCAACTTTGTGATCAAACTAACTCGAAAAGCTTGATAAGAAAATGACCCACTTCATAAAATTGGTTAATGAAACCCGGTGCCATCCACACATCATCTTCTTCATAAAAATACGGATGTTGAGGATCACCATATGGACCCCTCTCTTCCCTAATCACTGCATATACATAAAACAAACAAAACAAAACCACTTTGAGAATGAACTCTCTACTAAACTAACACCTTACTGTAAAATAACCAGTTTTCTTCCTCTTCTTTCATAAGCTGGAGAGTGCTTGAAACAAAAGGCGAAATATACATATTTGAACAGAATGATGGTTAGTAGGGAGGGTCCTGCACTGATCTAAAGGGATCAAACAAACTCCTTAAACATGTCTTGGTTTATACTTAATACACAGAACAAACAGAAGTAGCAGTAAAGAAAAGGGGTAATACTTCCGTCGGGTTTGTTTACAAACATTCGAGCCTTAGCTGCAGCCACCTCCGCCAAACCAGAATGCAGCTGAAAATGTTCACATCAGTTTATTTATTATTCCTTCCTCTTTCTTTGCTGAAAGTTATAATGTATCATAGAGAGTAAAAAATGGGTAACTACCGCACAAATATCTACAGTACAGCCATGCTCCTCCTCCAATAGCTCTCCAAAGTAGAATCTACCCTGAATTACCATTAATATGTGAACTCGAGTCAGAAACATGAATATTCACTAAAGAAAATGTTTCATGGAGCACAAAATTTTTACTTAAACCATTATGGATTTACGAAGGATACTATCTAAGCTATTTTAGGATCAATCAGATTAGATAGAATTATGATGTAAACGACCAATTTTTTTTACTACTCACATATAGGATGCGTTCGTTAACTTCATAGACACCACACCCATGCATTCGACTGTGCTTCCATTGACCAGCATAGCGATACCGACCTTTCTCCCTGGTAAGAAAACCATATAATATACAATATCTGAATAAGGAATAGAGAGGGAATCAACTAAAATGACATTTTCCTGTTTGTTATTTTAGTTCAAGTTATTACTTAGTCCAGTAATATATCTAATGATGTCAATAAATCAAACCGTTCAAATTAGTGTTGGGAAGTAAGCCATCTAGTAAGAATCTTATCATTGCAGACTCACGGTTTCTTGCCAAACTGTGTGACCCACTCTTCATTTTCATAGAAAGGAACTTGGAAATTCCCATCAGTAAGTGCAACACTGTCCTCAACATCCATCTCCAACCACTTTCTGTCTTCTGGAGTCATGTAATCTCTCTTGATAATCCTTCCTTCCGCGCGCATCTTAGCTTCAAGCCTACATAGACAGAAAACACGATATCCTAGTCAAACGACTATGTTCATAAAATCCCCTAGTAAGATTAATAGGAATACGAATCATACTTGGAACCTGGCATGGGCTCAATGTCAGGAATATCAACTTCGACAACCCCATGCCCTTCCATGTCATTCTGAAGCCATTCACCCTCATACCTAAAGATTTCAAATACAGAGCCAAAACCAACAAAACATATATTAGGTCATTGAAAACCAATGTAAAACATCAACAAGAGAAACAAAAATTTCACCTCACAAGCCCATTTTCAGCAATATAGACACCTTTGCCTTGAGCCAAGTCATCCCAGACTGTGCCTTCATACCTTTAGCCAAAACAACAGAGAGAGAGAAAATAGTGAGATACGAAGCTTCTGAATCAGAATGAAAGAATACATTTTTTTTGGTTTAATGTTAAACAAATGAATGAAAGAATACATCACAAAGCTACCCAAACAGATGAAGAAGATCATCAAACTTAGTCGCAAGAACGTTTCTAATGCCCTATCATTCAACCTGCATTCCCATTTCCTTCATTTCCAGTATTCAAACTCTACTTAGAATACAAAGTTTCAAACCAAACTTCATGAAAATTCAATCTACAGCTTATAGAACACAACAAACTAAAAAAAGTCACTAGCTTTAGAAATCCTCTCATGGTAACAAAACATTCTCTGGAACTGGAACAAAACATCAAATGAATCAAAGCATATAAACCCTGATCCCAAAACCACAACTTGCAAACATCAAACTAAAGAAACATGCTCCAAACTCACAGAAACAGGACCAAAAATCAAAGAGAAGAAAAAGGGAAATGAGAGGTATTACGAGCTTCCATCAGGGAAAATATAGCTGACCCATTGAAGAAACTCTTCAATCCTATCAAGCTCTTCAACAACACCTTTAGCATTCTCAATATCATAATGATTATCTGGAATCGCTGGATAAGGTTTCCTATAAGGAACATAAAAAGGTTGAATCCCAGGATCTCGTCCTTCTTGAATCTCATCGTTAACAATTTCCCAATCATCTTCATCAGCCCAAACTGGATCCCAACCAGGTTTAGTCATCTCCAATGGACCATCTGCCCAAATCTCTCTTAAATCTTGCTCCTTCCACCTTTCTGGGTCTCTAGGGAAATCGAAAAGATCTTCATAGAATGTGTATTTCTCTTCTTCTTCTTCTTGCATACGCTTCACTCGTTTCCCATCGAGGACGCGATTGAATCTGCGGATGTTGGTTTCTGGGTTTGCGTTTGGGTCAGGAGGTATGTCACTTGGTCTTACGTAGTTGAAGATGGCGTTGTCTCCTTCTGCTTCGTTTTCTGACTCGGAGATGTAGAAATCGTCGCCGGAGGATTGGGATGATGAGTCTGAGTCTGAGTCGGAGTTGGAGCCGTTTTCTTCATCGGCATTGGGTGATTGTTGACTTGGGTCTTCTTGTTGCTGTGACTCAGTGAGTTCTTCTTCGTTAGCCATTGAGAGAGAGGAGAGGAAGTGGATAGGTGAAGAGTGTTGAGCAGATAAGCGTTGTGAGAGAGAGGTTTTGAGGTTTTTGTGTTAACAAAAACATTTGCAGATAATTTCATAATTCTCCCCTGTCTTTTTGTTTATTTTCGTTTTAGTCCTGTAAGTTTAACAATACTTAAAAATGCGTCTTGTAATTTATATTTGGATACTGATAGTCATAGATCCATTATTTCTTAGTTCTTACATTGTTCAGACAAAAAAAAAGTGTTGGAGTTTTAAATTGAGTAAAAACATGAAAAAAAAAACAAAACAGATTTTGAAGAATGTTGAATCTATTTGAATTATCATTGATCAATAATTCCATATATCATCACGATCGTATATTCGTATATATGTGACTTGTGTGAGCTTATATTGAAATCATTTGATAAAAAAAAAAAACCCTCCATATATTGAGTGTATATGGGCCGAACCGAACAAAATGGGCCGTTTCAAGTCTATAAAATTGTGGATCTTAGCGAAAAGGCTTTATTCGAACGAAACACAAGAAACCAAATACATACAAACACATCGATATATATATTTTTAAATAAACTGAAGCGTCCATAACCCCGATAGAAACGCACTAAAATATTACAGAGTAAACTTCTTCTCCAAAGACCACCATACTATCTATCCCGAATTTCAAATATTTTCTGACTAATGTATGGAGATAGTAATCGCATATGCTTTCTAACTAATGTCTAGGGATAAACAGATCAGATCGCTTGTTACTGCACTACCATGTAGCTCAAATCCAGACTTCCTACATAGGTGTGATATTTGTTCCCAGTGAAACTCGAACCCTTAGAGATTGCTTAACACATTTTCAAATCTCACCAACCACTAGACCACAACTATTTGGGCCTAATTGATATTTTAGCAATTGCGTTATAAAAAGTCACCAATTTAAGCTTAATATTGAATCGAGTTGGTATCTAACTAATGATCTATATAACTTACACAGTTGATTCAATATTAGTGTGTTTTGGAGTGTTTAAATCTTTTTAATCATTTTACTTGACCTGGCTGCTTAAATTAATTGGTCAATCACCATATGCCACAGCCTCACATGACCAATCATTGAAATAGGCTCGAGACCTCTTTAAGTGGAGTGGAAAATGCTGTTTGAAAACAACTACACCATAATGGAAAAATAAAAATCTTTTTTTTTTTTTAATGTTATTTTTTGGAACGAGATATTTCACGTTGAAACAAAGCTCATCACATGATTTACGTGTATATATTTTTCTGCAGTAGTTAGATATAAGCTACATTCCTAAGAAAATAAAAATCGTAGAAATACAAATATTTAAGCCAAATGTTTCTTCAATTTCCCACCTACAACCAGTTTCAAAATACTATATAACAGAATAATAATGAAATACAATGACAAATATTGGTTATAAAATTGATTGTGGTAGGCTTCTATATATGTCTTCATATAACTTGGAAATGTTGATTACCCTTATAAACTAAGAACATTAATAAATAAAAAAAGCGTAAAAAACTTCTACTTGCAACACATTATAACATTCAATACTTTCGTTAGATCTTATTCAATTTCTTGGACTACACATGATAGTTTTTGTTCAATCACTAATTTAAGAACTATAACTTAAACCGGAACCAAAACCAAAAGCTTAACCGGAATCTAAAGAAGTCGGCAAAACCTAAGTACAAGGCTCCCCCACACACTCACCAACTACCACAGTGTGCTCGATCTCTCTTTCTCCCACCTACCACCCCACTCTTGATTTCGCCATTTCTCTTAATATATATCAAACGTCCCTTCTATAATTAATTGTATTAATCTCAATTAGTATATATGATAATGGAAGTGTTTTAATCATCTTTGTCTGTGATCATGATCAAGTTGCTTTCAAACAATATGACGATGGATGGAAGTGTTTAATCCAATTTCTAATTATATAATATCTAAAAGAGACGACAACATCAATGCTGTTTTCTTTAAAATCCAAGATTAGGTTTTAATAACTCATGTAGCATTTTGTTTACACCAATGCTACTATATCTAACTTCGAGTTGTAGAATTGTGCTTGAGAAATGATAATTCAAGCTTACATAAATCTAATATCAAACCTAAAATACTAAGAGTCTAAGAACGAAGTATATAAACAACTTTCTATAATCTACTCCAAATATAAAAGCATGACGAGGTTAATAAATCTTCGATTGATATGTTAGATTTCCGACCACTTCGCTCTCTCACCAAACCCTTTTACGGTCAAGTGACATAATTATACCGTCATCATATTTGTCCCACATATAATATATCATTAGTGTTTATGAGTATAATAACCCGCCATGGTACAAGATTCACTTCATCTCGATAACCATCAAGGACCCACTAAATGCTCAATTCACTTCGTGATCGTAATTTTCATGAGTTATGACCAAGACTACTCTATTTTGAATTAGTTATTGGTTACCTTTTAGTTGGCAATTTTGTCTTCTCATGATTAACTAGTTAAACATTAATTAATTAGTATGGTGGTGGAAGGTCCTTTATAATTGTACGATATTAGGACACCACGCAAGATCTAACACCATTGTGCCAAAAACAATAAACATTACTTGTGGAAATGTGTGTTAATATGAACCTCTTAATAATAATATTTCAATATGATGATCATACGTACTTTGAACAATGCAGTTAATCTAATTTTCATAATTTTGAGCTTGATTGATAAATTCTTACCGCTCTACATGCTACAAAAATTTGATTTTAAAAGTTATGCAATCAAATTATACTAGACCTCTATATTTTCAGCGTTGCACAACCGAAAAACATAACTCCACGGCACGAAGAAAAAGAAAATGTAACATTGTCCACAACTTTAAAGTATAGCTGAAAAAACTTGTACAAAAGTTATTCATATGACAATTTAAAATCGTGTGATTAGTGTTAAGACCATAGGGTATAGCTTCCACCACACGTAACTGTTTTGGCTTTCAAAAATGTTCAAACCCTCTAAGATAGGTGGGAACACATTACACATATATAGTATAAATAGTCGTCAAGTCGTGTTAAATAAATCCAAACAAAAATGTTAACACTAAGTTACGTGGAAATTATATGCCCAATTCTTTGGCAACTCGAACTGAATTTCCTGAAGATAGCTGAGAACTTTAATAAGAAAATCAATAAAAATTCATGGAAGTTGGCATAGTACACGACCAGATGGATGATTATACATTTGTTTCAAAGCAAGAAACATATATCAAAACCGAACTTGTGTTCACACTAATTTTGACTTTTGTAATTTCACTTGTTTTTAATCGACTTGTAATTAAATAACTTTAAGGTTTAGAATCTCAAAGTCTTTCTTGTTTCGTTGGTTAACGTGGGAGTTTTAGATAGATAGCTTCAAAGTTTATTGTTAATGCTTCTGCTTACAAAATTCCGTTATAAAAATATGAGGTTCTCTAATTTGTGCTAATGATCATGAAAAAATAGGAGAAGTACTATAGTAAGACATTAATTAAAATGTACTTAGCTTAATAAATATCTTCAACTGTAATCATCAGAACCAAACTACAAACCGGTCTTGTTCCAATAGTAATAAATACATACATACACACAAAATATTTGGTTCGGGGTTTGTGATATAAGAGAAATAAAATAATATTACTCTCCCAATTCACATGCAAAACGAGTTCTACAAATTCTACTTTAGTTCCAAGTATATATATAATTATGATCATTTTATCATAATGTTATTATTTAAAATTCAGATAAAATTATTATTTGTCATACGTCTTCGCTAGGTAACGTGGACCATGGCGTCATATCCATTGGGTAACTTCCCAGCACCCTGAGGAATGACGTGTACTCTTGCACCTCCGCTAACGCGTTTTGTGCACGCGCCTCCGCCATCGACGCTTCGAAATCGACGTAGAATGTATACTCAAAGTGCTTCGACGTTCCTACGTTTTCGTCGCCGACGACTCTAACCGGGCAATTCTGATGCGGCCGCGATTCGATTTTCGTCAAGCTAATGTTTCGAAACGCAAACGCGGAAAGCACTTTGAATAAAACGCTAGTTCCTTTATGTTCTTGAGCGGCGAAAACAATACTTGTTTTAAACGGACGATCCGTGCGGGGGATGATTGGATCACGCGCTAGCATAAGGAAGCGCGTGACGTTTCCTGCGTCGTCTTGGATCCCGTCGGCGAGAATCTGAAGTCCGTAAAGCTCAGCTGCTCTTGCGCTCGCAACCGCCGCCGTATCATGGAGGTTGTTAGCAGCGATGTATTCAGCCGCCGCGGCTGTGTCGTGAAACGCCTCAATCGCTGCTTTTGGAGTGAGTTTGTTTAGCGATCCTTCCGTCTGAGCCAGAGCTTGAGGATGCGAAATCACTCGCGTGATGCAATCCGTACGAACTCCGGGAAGAGCAAGGAGACAGTGATGAACCGGGATCTGAACTTCTCCGACGATGTGGAGACGGTGACGGAGGAGGAGATCGTAATTTCTATGAATCGAACCACCGAGAGAGTTCTCAACTGGGAGAACAGCACGATCGGCGATCCAAAGCTCCACCGCCTGAAACGCAACGTCGAACTGATCACAAGGAATAGCTTCAGAGTTCGGGTAAGCTTTTCCGGCGGCTGCTTCGGAATAAGCGCCGGGAACTCCTTGATACGCTACACGGAGAGTAGATCCATGAGACGGCGCCGGAGATAGATCTGTTATCGTTAACGGCTGAATCAATCCAGGCTTTCCGTTATGCTGCGACTTTGACGGAACAAGGCTTAGATCAACGGAACCGTTACTGTGACCGTTAACGACGGCGACTTGATCGGCTAAACCACCGGTGATTGAGCTTGAATTCTCAGCCGAAACTACTTTGCTGGCTAAGATGGCGCATGAGCTTTGCCAATCGGCTCGGGTTGAGCCAACACCGTTAGGGAAGCTAAACGACTCAGACCTGTAACCGCAACGAACAGACACGCGCTTTCCATTTACTTGAGAGTAACGCGCGTTCTTAGCCGTTAGATTTGGTTGAATGACGGATTTGAACGCAGGCGAAATGGTTTGCATGATTTGAGTCGAAAAATAAAAAAATGCTATTTATTTATTTTTCTGGTAAGAGGAAACAAAAGAGTACAATATAAAACGGCGACGTATTAGAGTACAGTACAAGCTTGGAGTTCTGTAGTTGAGAAAGAACTTGCAAGCTGAGAGATAATGGTCGAGAGGGGAGAGATTTATATACTAGTGTCTTAACGTGTAATTGAGGGTAAATCCGTCAAATCATTCACCTACCACATTTCATTTGTTTTTATTCTTTTTATATTATAAAGTTGTTTTATTTGAATATGTTTCATTTGCTTTGTTAGGAAAAAATGGTGAATTTCTCGGTACGTGTTAACCAGTGGAGGCCTTTAAAGAAAGATTTGTTGCTGCTAATTGTGAGTAAAGATCTTTTTTCATAATAAGATAATGCGATTAGTAGATTTATGGATAAATGGACCATACGTGGCAGCTTTGCATTTGTGGTATCAAAAATCAAATGCTAACGTTCTTTCGAGATTTTGTTATGTTTTCAAGTTTCTATTTTGGTTTCAAATTTTTATCCTTACCCAAGATTACTAAACAAGGTAACTAAAAGAATCATATTTTAAAAGAGATCATGTGTATGAATATGTGGATTAGTGTCAAGCAACCATGTGGTGGTCATGTATTGGTTAAGGTTTTTTCTTTTGGTTGAAGACAAAGATAGAGTTTGATCATATATGGAACTATTGATCCCCATTTGTGTTTCTCTCTATTTGGCCATTGTAAATGATTACGTAATAAAATTAATGGCATGAATTTAGTACTGGATAATGATTTTCTTAAAAAAATCCTAGAATGAAAGTAGTAAGAAGAAACATTTAGCATAAGTTGTCATTTTGATATAATAACCCAACAAACTATAAATAAAATTTTCAAATGATATTTCTAATATAGTTTTAAAAGTTAGAAGACACCATAAGCGTATACAATGAGTCCTGGATTACCTGATGTGATCTTTCAAATGAACCTAAGTCGATGTAGATGCAGACTTTCACTTTACTATTTTGGATGTTTTAGAAATAAAACATTATATACATAAGATTACGAATAATTGATTGATGTCCTTAATATCTTTAAAATACATGCCCTTATATATATATTTATACATTAATCACTTGAGTTTTGACATAATTAATAATCGCTCTAACAATAAATTAATAAAATGTATGGCTTCAAATATTTTAAAAACATAAAAAGGTTTTCCTTAAGAAATCAGAACAAACCTAATGTGCACCATTGAAGGAAACGTAGTACATCGACCCAACTCAAACCAACCTGATCTGCACTATTGAAGGAAACCTAGTACAGCGGCCCAACTCGAACAACCATAGTCACACAAAGGACTAGAGAGACATATTTGTAGGTATATATATATATATATATATATATCTAATTTAGTGATTTCTCATTTGACACAGACATACAAAAGTCCCCTGAGACATATTTGTGGATGTACATTATCCTAAGATATTATATATAATCTATATCTCTAACTCTAATAGAATGTATATTGATATCACACCCTACTTTTTTACCAATTGATTAAGCCATTTACTAATTGTTCCTTATCAATAAGAAAAAGAGATTCTCTGTAGAAGGATCTAGAATATTTTTGAATATATTTCTAATACATCTCATATTCTTATTTATGTATTTGTGTATATTAGGAAACTAAGTTAATTAATTTTAATATTCTCTTCTCTATATAAACCTATGTATTATAACCCTTATCATTATATATGAGAGTCAAAATACTTTGTCATAAAGAAAAAAATAAAGTCAATATACTTCTTCCTAAACATTAATGTAAATCTTTCATCATCATCTAATATATAAATCACCTACTATATGGTATTAAAGCCACAATAATTTAACGATCGACTTCGTTTCTGGTTTTTAAACCAAATGTTTCTTTTATTTTTAAATAAAAAACGCCTCCATCATTCAAGCTTTATCACGAGCCTCTAAATCTAAGCCAAAATGCTTCAAAATTCAAGTGTATGATGGATTTCTGAATCAAACGCAAGTGTTTTTGAAAATCATATTCATCATGAACCTGAGGTTCAGAACCTCTAAATCTAATCTATCGAGCTTCATAAGCCATGGTACTTCCATTTCAAAATTTAACACTTCATCGATTTTCTATTATATATACTAGAGAACCCAAGATTCTCGTATTTTTTTTTTTAATTCGTGGATCTTCTTTATTATGTGGTTTAAATAAATATATGTTTAGATTTTTCATTCGACTATTAATCTTTTTGCGTTTTTTTGTCAACCATACATTAATTAAAATTTACACTATGATTGATAGCCCAATCAAGAGGAAAAGTATTTACAAATGCAATATCAGATAATAACAATCTAGAGGATCGAAATACGGCTGCTACGTAATCCGCTTTAGAATTACAAGAACGTGAAATATGAGATAGCGAGAAAAAAAGGAAAGGAAACTCGAAACAAACCAATCTTGCGTTTTTCTTTATACATTTGTTTTATGAACCGAGACTCTTCCATTTATTATTTGTTCGAATGTTTTTTTGTTTTTAATAATTTGATTTATCTATATTTTGATGTTGCAGTAATTTTTAACTTACTGATTTTTTTTCTGGTTGTTTAAAACTTTCTAAACAGATTGTTTTCAATTTTTTGTCCATCAATTTTTACATATATTTTTTCATTTTAATCTCATAACTTGTTCTTCCTTTTCTTCACTTGTATTGCTTAGATGATAATCAAATCACCCAAAAAAGTGAGAAGACACACTTAAAATTTCAAATTATTTAATATTTAAATGTTTATGTTGTTTGTAAATTAAATTTGAGTTTCATTTAATTATTTTATGCTTATGCTTTAATATTTTTGACATAATTAAGTTTAAATTAAATGATTTTTATATACATTAATAGTTTGACTCATGTTAGTTTCTTATTTGTTCTCAAATGATGAGGTGTCAATCCATGGGAAGCTCCATTCATCTATTATATATAGGATATATCTAATTTAATGATTATTGATTTTTCATATGACAACACATAGACAATTAGACATACCAAAGTCCAGTGAGACATATCTGTGGGTGTAGATTATCCTAAGATATTACATATAATATATATCTCTAACTTTAATAGAATGTATATTGATTGCATACCCTACTTTTTTACCAATTGATTAAGCCATTTACCAATTGTTCTTATTTATGAGAAAAAGAGATTCTTAAGTGATGCTAACAAAATAATTTTATGTATAAGAAATTATATAGAATGCAGGATATAAAAGAATCACTAACAACTTAACAAGTAACAACAGCTCCAATATGCCACGATTATGTAATACTTTTGTCATATTTGTTTCTTCTCTTAGTTAAAGTTAAAGATAGGTATGACCTCAGGTTTCAAAAGTGATATCCAGCTTCTCAAGTAATAAATATGTTTCTGGTTTATTTTCTACGTTTTGAAGAAAGAAAACACATATTCATGATATATTAGAAATATTATAACATAAGAAAACAATCAACAAGCAATTGTTGGCCGTAAAAATATATCGATGGGGTTGTTGAAACCTTTTTTAATTCATAAATTTGAAAAGGTTTAATATGGCAAAGTTGGTGAAACCCCAAGTGGGACTATCTAACATTGCACCTAAGCATGTTGAATTGATCCTTTCTACATTTCTTTTCATCTCTCTTGACTCTTTGATTACAGTTTGAAAATCTTTTTAACTTTGTTTTCAAATATGATTGGCGACTTTTTTTTTTCTAACCTTTTTAATAGGACTTATATCTCGTTCTAAATTACACCAATTATACTGTAATTAGCAAAATGGTAGGAATATGCTAAAAAATACATAACTAAAAAATGGCAAATTTCTTTTTACGAGTTTCATGCCATATAAAAAAGAGAATGGCATTTTTAATTTGTCTAAATTTACCAATCAGATCAATTGTTTCTCAAACCTTTACGTAGCACGATGATCTGAGAATACAAAAAAAGGAAAAGATTTGGATGTATATATAATATATGTAAATCTCCAATTGGAAGAATTAATTAAGGGCTTTGATTTCAAATTTTCAAGCATAAGTAGTGCTTTTCTCTTACCATCAGGTTTAGGTTCGCTTTGGTTTTCAAACCAAACAACTCATTTTTCTTTTTAACATTTTATTTTGAAAGATTTGCATTTTTCTACATTTCTTTTTCTAAGTCATCTATATAGTTGATAGTTTTTTCACCACAGACCAACCCAAAGAGAACCAAAATACGATCAGAAAAAAAAAGAGTCATAGTTAAGAATATTTCCAAACCTAAACAAATAAAACCGAGACCAAACCAGTGAAACTGGATTATAAAAATATTTGTACTATTTGACTTTCTTTCTTGTTGACAAAATTGACTTCACAATAACTTAGAAGATGCACGTGTTTCATGTTCACGTAAGTATTGAAGGTTCTACGTCTTTGCATAATGTGATGAAATAACCAAGTCCCACTAATACGGCACGTGAACCTTATTATTTTCAATTATCTCTCTTTTGGCTACAAGAGTCTCTGATGGTAAGCTTTGTTTCATACTACGTGAAACAGTAAAATCGTATTACCATTTGTGGGTTTTTTTTTTTGTTGGTCAAAGGAAAATTGTGGTTTTTATGTTTTAGTTTATTGTCCTCACCACAAATGGCAATCTTTTTATACTTGTACTTTTATCGAAATATGATAATAGACCTGTTTGTTTCCATCGACCACAATTAAATGTTGTTTATTTGTGTCGATCAATTGTAACCAGTGACCAAAATTTTCAGTTTATTGTCAACCCATTTAAAATTTGACAACATATAACAACAAGTACAAAACGAACAAAACTTATATATATGCACGATCAGTTTTTGGTTGCAATCGACAATAAATGCCAAACGAACATGTTAAAATTAATTGCGTTTCATAAATGAGCGTATAATTTCAGAAAGGAGTGATCTAACCAAAATCCATGAAACAAAACTTACAAGTTACAACATTATATTACAACAAAAAATACCCGAATCTTTAACAAGTGTTCAGAAGTTGGTTTTAAATATTAATGCGAGATAATGAAATTATGAAACATATTTAGAAATAGTTCCAGTGAAAAAATTATATATAAGGGCAATTTTATTTTTTCACAATTTCATGTTTCCGTCAAACTCAGTTTCAGATATGAACGTTTCTTTCCATGATAGATGCAATTTTCAACTAGTCTTTCACTGTCTCAGATGTAAAAAATTCACCATCAAAAATCTCGATCTATTTCATTTCTTTAAGAGACGACTAAGCTAAAGAGTCTATGGGTGTTGGATGTCTCACCGCTTTTGTGGCTCCTCAATAGAGCAAATATAAAAAAGGGTCGTAGACACTTCATCGTGTTCTAGTTTGTGGATAAGCGAGTACTGTATTTTACTCCGTTTGTGTGTTTTTTCTTGACTCATATCTATTTTCTTTATCAAAGATTTAGATTCTTGTATGTCTAGTTTTGAGTTTTAGTCTTGAAAGTAATCGAATGGTTGTAATTTATTGGGAAAAATGTCGGAAAATGCGCGAATTTTCAAATTTGGGACAAAAAAAGCATGAACTTTCGAAATGTCATTTAAATCATAAAGTTTAGTTTGACTTTTGATTAAATGGTTAAGTTTTCGTTGACCTGGCAATTTCGGACATGTCGTTAAATTTCCGTTAACGAGACGATGACGGGATTAACTTTCCGTTATAAATCTCCGTTGAATCGAAACGACGGAAAGTTCGATTCTTCATAGACGCAGTTAATTCATTTTATTTTCCACTGAAATGACTTCGTTTTGTTTTTTTTAAACCGACATCGTTTCGATTCAACAGAGATTTCTAACGGAAAGTTAACTCCGTTAACGTCTCATTAACGGAAATTTAACGACATGCCCGAAATGGCCAAGTCAACGAAAACTTAACCATTTTATAAAAAATCAAACTAAACTTTATGATTTAAATGACATTTCGAAAGTTCATGATATTTTTGTCCCAAATTTGAAAGTTCGCGCATTTTCCGACATTTTTCCCGTAATTTATTAGGTTTGTTTGAGTTTTTTTTTCCCTTTTGTGTAAATTGTTTGTTTCATCTTAGTTTAGTCTATGTTTCAGGGAGTCTCCATGTACTCGCCGAGTATTATCTCTCAAAGGTTTACGACCCTTGCATGTTCTTTGTATTTCAAGTTGAATTCTATCAATGAAAACCAAATCACTACTGAAAAAAAAACTTTACTAAGCATGATAAAATTGGAGCTATTGGGCCGGCCCGTTATGGTCCAAAGTAGACAAAAATAAACCATGATAAAATCGAACTTCCCGCTAAATGGAAAAATAAAAACCAGTTCTTATTTCTTTTTTTTTTCTTTTTTTTCTTTTTTTTTTTTTTTCCAGTTCTTATTTCTTAAAATAGAAAACATTAAAATAAAATAAAATGATTTCTCTACCACTCACTACACCGATTTTACCCAGCCGGTGTCTCCTCCACCAAACCCGCCGGCCAAATTCGACTCGCCGCCGCTTCTGGATTCGATCATCATCGAGCTTACATGAACATGTCACCGCAAAGACGACGAAGCGAGTGGTTCTTGTGAGACATGGACAGAGCACATGGAACGAAGAAGGGAGGATTCAAGGAAGCTCCGATTTCTCCGTTTTGACGAAAAAAGGCGAGTCTCAGGCCGAAATTTCTCGCCAGATGCTCATCGATGACTCCTTCGATGTCTGCTTCACCAGGTCCTGCGTTTTCTTAAAAATCTATTGAATCGGTTTTTGAAATCTAGTCACTTTGATTTGGAATTTTAGATCGAATTTAGTGGTTGGTAGATGAAATTGACTTTGTAGAATTTAGATGATTCAATTTGATTTTAGATTAGTATTCACAGCTCTTGTGTGTTCTTGTTCTCTGCAATGGAAATTTTTGTTGTTAGATCCTTTTTGTAAATTTGGCTGCATTTTGTTATACATTGTGTTCAGTCCGTTGAAGAGATCAAAGAAAACAGCTGAAATCATTTGGGGAAGTCGAGAGAGTGAGATGATTTTCAACTACGAGCTTAGAGAAATCGATCTCTACTCGTTTCAAGTAAGTCTAGCTGAGATTGGGAGATAATAGATTTCATAGACCAATTATCGTATATGTTCTTAACTCTTGTTCTAGTTGATGGTTATATACTAGGGTCTGCTTAAGAAAGAAGGGAAAGAAAAGTTTGGGGAAGCTTTTAAGCAATGGCAAGAAGATCCGGCGAACTTCATCATCGATGGTCATTATCCCGTGAGAGAGTTATGGTCACGTGCTAGAAGCTGTTGGCCCGGTATTCTTGCACATGAGAGCAAGTCTGTTCTTGTTGTTGCTCATAATGCTGTTAATCAGGCTCTTGTGGCAACGGCAATTGGTACTTGTTCTTTTTCTTGTTTCAGCAACTAGCCGATTTTTCGTTTCTGTGTAGAGGTTTGTTACGTCTGCGGTCTTTGGTTAATATGACAGGACTGGGAACAGAATATTTTAGGAGTTTGTTGCAGAGCAATTGCGGTGTAAGTGTACTGGACTTCACACCAACAACTGATGGTGGATCTCCTCACGTATGTCTTAATCGACTAAATCAGGTAAACTGTGGATGGCAAGCTAATCTTTTGTTTTTGATGAAACACGAAAGCTCTTCTTTAATTAAAACAAATGTCTGGCTTTGAATTAGATTCATAAGTCATAATCATCTTAGATATATGAACCTTTGTTGTTGTTGCAAGATTCTTGAGTTGGGTTTAAAATGTTAGAGGTAGTCAAAATTCTGCTTACTGTCTTTCTAGTACTAATGCAGACACCTAATTCGCCTCTAGCTGGTGGAAGTTCTGGTGGCCGTAAAGCTAGTAAGCAGGTCATACTTGTCTGCCATGGTCAGGGGAATAATGAGGTATAGTTGTATCAGTCCCTTACGTGGTTCTCTTAATTCATCTTTATTTGCCAGAATTAACCTCCATGGATGCGTGTGGAAGGTGTTTTTGCTCTTTACACTAATATCTGAGCTAAGAAAAGTTTGGAGGCTTTTAGTTAAACTTTTACCGGATTTTCTTCGTTTTTCAACATATCAGGATTCTGCAGTTATTAACCAAGCAGCCACTAATGATCAATCAATGAACATGCTTGGTGTGATACAGGTAACATACACATATGACTTTTGTGAAGGACAATTGTAAATATTTCTTAATCCTGCATTTAGTTTACTCTTTAAAAATGCTTACTTGTTGATTATTGCAGTCACAGAAAACCGCAGAGCTTCTTCTTGATCTAAGGGTTAGTTCTATAGTTTCCAGCCCTAAAGCAGCCTCCATTGAGACTGCTGGAGTAATATCCCGGGTAAGTTATATAACTCTCTATATACCTAGCTTCATTTTTCTTAACAAACTGAAGACCTTTATACGGAATCTTGTTTCTTTTCTTGCTAACAGTTTAAAGACTTAATAGGTGCAAAAAGCTGCTGGTTGTTTAGGTGTAGATAGTGTGCCTCGCCACGTGGAAACGAAACAAATGAATGAGCTCGATGTTGAGGGTGTTCTTCGCAAATCTAATCAGGCAAGATTACTTATTCTGATGCAATCAATAGTAAAATGAACACTGATCTTTCCGATCCTTCAATTCTGCAGGACAACGATGTGATTGCATCGAGCCAACCTGGTTGGCTAAGTCAGTTAGACGAAGAAGCGGTTTCAGCTCTATGGAACAGATCCGGAAAAGCATGGGAATCACTCTTAGACAAACTATCGGATGAGGAGTCAAACCCAGGAGAAATCATGGTGGTGGTTGGTCCTCCAATGACTCACATATCGCTCATCGCACAATGCCTTAACCTCACTAAAGAAGGGCTTGGGCTGTTCCACCTAGACGCAGGTAGCATCAGTGTCATAGATTTCCCGGATGGTCCTAGCAGAAGTGGAGTAATCCGTTGCACAAACTACACCGCTCATCTTGGAAGATGGTGCATCCCGATCACAAGAGCCGCCTGAAGAATCTTGTCTTAAACCCGATAAAATTACAGCAATGTTATTTTTAGCAAACTTTTGCATGAAATATAGTTTGGAATCTAACATCCTCATCTGAGACTGAGAGCTTTGTCCAAAGTATATAGATACAAAGACATCATAACAGAATTCAACAAAATCAAAATCCAAGTCCAATCATAACAGTCACTCAAATGCACAACAAGTTTCTTGAGAACTACTGAGTTCTCTACAAAGTACTCTGCCACTTTAACTCACAATGGCATCACAATAGAATTCAACAACATCAAAATATTCTTCCAACACGGCCGGTTTTTTTGTTTTTTCGATAACAAAGAGCACGGCCGTTTAGCGCATTAAAAACTTCGATTTGACACATGCTAGATCGCCTCGGCAATGTAAGGAGATCCTTTAAGAGAGCTCGTTTTGCTAGTCTCATTCTTAGAAAGGAAGATGCCAAACCCAGAACAAGTTTCTTGAGATTCACAGAGTTCTCTACAAAGTACCTTGCAACCTCCAATGCACCATCATCTACCGAGATTCTGTTTTTTATCTCTACATACTCCAGCGATGACAACAAACACTTAGGCACAGACGAGACTCTCCTTTCAACCGTTTCTTTCGTACGATCAACTATACAAGTTGTATCCTACAAAATACATAAGATGAATATAATATATATACTAGATATAACAAGATTTCTCTACTTGTATGATTAAAATTTGAAAGTTGGTGCAAGTCATTACCAAGACGATAGATTTTAGATTCGGACAGCTTTCAAGAAGCTTTGGCAGGATGTCCAGGAAGTCAAAGGATGATAACCAAACACTTGCTTTCAAACAGGACAAGTTGCAAAACTGTGGCAATGCATCTACTTTCAAGTAAGAATAGATTAGCTGCTTGCAAAAAAAGAAACGAAGAGAAGAGACTTTGGGTTAGCACTTAGCAAAAGTTGTATATAGCATTAAATATACAATATGAAGTTCATAAAAACATACCTCCATCATATCCTCAGAGACGATGAGATACCTAACTGTCGAGATACCCGCGAGAAAGTTATGGGCCATTTGTTCCTTCGAACAGCCAACTACACTTGAAATATTAAAGGGACCTAGAATATTGACCTTAACTAAGGAACCCAAATTGCTTATGGTTTTACTTTTTGATTTTTCATTGTTGAAAGTCAAATACTTGAGTCTAGGGGCATCAATCACAAGCCCCGAGTTGTTCTCTCTATCTCTATCATAACGATAAAAAATCTCATCAGATCTATATGATTTATATCCTACACTAAGACTGGTTAATGACTGAGAATGCACTCGTAAAACCCTAACATTATCATCTACCCTAACAATGGTCAAATCTTCGAGAACGGGGCAAGACGAGATAAGCGACTCCAGACTCGCCTCATTAGAATATACATTTTCTTCTAAACGCATGGTTTTGAGACGAGGTAAAGAATCAACGCGAGGATCAAAGTTACGCAACCATACCCGATAGAGTCTTAAGTGAAGGAGCGTCTTACATGTATAGAGGCTTAGGGGCATCACTTCACAATACACACGCATCAGTACAGGACCACCAAACTCAACATCAAGATGCGTAAGTTTACCCCTAGCCACAGCGTCTGTCCATAGCGTGACACAAGACGGATCATTCTCATGCTTCTGAATACTTAGCTTGAGCTTGTTCAAGCATGACTCCTGTTCCCTAGAGGAAAATAGGAAGTCGTTCATAAAATCCACAAAGGTATAGTAATCTGGGAACTCACAAGAGTCCAAATCCAACCCCGGAATCAAAAGCCAGATACTTTTCCACCTCTTGGACAAAGCACTAGTCCTGACAATATCTTTTGTCGGAAGATACGAGAGTATCTGAGATATTAAAACATCGGGTAATTTGCTTATCAGATCCTCTCTTGCATTTGAGAAACCTGCAAGCGGTTCGACGCAAATACTTTTCTCTATCCTTGACTCCATTGGATCCTCTCGCAAACCCTAGAAATATAACGCAAACAAATCATCATAATCGAGAATAAACGCAAGAAATCAAGAAATGAGTGAGGAAGAAGAAGATGAAATCACCACATCCGGAGAGTCGCGTACGATGCGCCGATGCAACGAGAGAATGATATTAGCCTATTAGGGTTGAGAGCTTATCTTTGAACATACAAATCCTTCAGACTAATTACACTTGTCAAAAGACACTTGAGAGCTTATCTTTCTTTGGATTTTCTAGTGTTTATTTTTAAGATTTTTCATTTATTACTTTGAAACATAATTTACAAAGAGATCATACAAACATGATAAAAAAAAAGTTAGGAGTACAATAAAGAACAATAAAACTATGAAAGCTTTTGCCCAGAAAAAAAAAAAACTATGAAAGCAAATTATGACCATGTCTTTTTTTTGTTCCTGGAAAACTTTACTCGGGCTAACGGATTTGATAATCCGTTATTTTCTGTTTTTCGTACTCGATTGTTTCCCTCGCTAAATGTTATCTTAATTTTCTTTTAAATTTATTTGGGCCTAAAGCCCAATATTTTGTTTCCTCAACTTCAAATAATTTTTTTTATTCAAATTCACAAATTAGTTATTTCGAAAAAATACATAATTATTTGATTTTTGTTACATTAAATAAAGAATATGTACATTTTTCAAAAAAAAGTCTTTACAAAACAAGAAACATCATGAACTTGAACAGATAATCTTTGTGAGTTGTAGATTTTTTTATTTAAATGATAAAAGTTAAGTTTTGGTAGTTTGCGTGCCTTGGACATATCATTGGACCAGTTCTTTAGAATTTTTGCTAATTTGTAAATATCATTAAAACCTATATTTTTGAGAAGTTGTGAAACCAATCATGGATCAGTTGATCTAAAGGAGTAAGTTCTGTTCTTAGTAGTACGATTAATTGTGTTGAAGACCTGAGTTGTTCAATTGTAAACTGAAGATAAAGAGTCTTCTGCTATAGTTATATCTTGACAAAAGCTTTATTAGCAAACCGAAGACTTTGTGAAATCTATTACTCCCTCCGTTTTCGAATAGTTGTCGTTTTAGAGCATTTTTTTGTTTTAAATTAGTTGTCGTTTTAAGGTAATAATGTAACTTATGCCAATAACTACCCAAATTACCCTCATTTAATTAAACACAAATTATTTGTAAATAATTACTTGTCATTTTTATAAGGTTAATATAGTCATTGTATACATTTTCTTAATTTGTCCAAATACAGTTAAAACGACAACTTTTAAAAAACAGAGGGAGTATGTTTTTTTTCGTAAACCGTTGAAAGGGTTCGGTATTTGTAAGTAGCTGCACGTTGTTTGGTGTAGATTTCTTGCATGAGAGACAATTAGACGGAAGCCTGAGGATCACTCTTGTAAAGCCTAACTGAGCCATAACAAGAAAAAGTCATCTCATACACACAAAAAGAAGAAGGTAAAAGTCATATTGCATGGTAGTAGTAGATTGACCAATGACTCACGTATCACTGAAAGCGCAATGCTTTTACCTCACTAAAAGAATGGCTCAGCTATTACAACAGTAGTCTGGGAAGATATCCACTACGTTAATTCAATTTTGAAATATTTGCTTCAATGAGAGAAGAAGAAGAAAATAGCACATATAAAATCCTTAACAAATAAACCAACTATTTATTAAATATTAGAAAAGTACACACTCTTTGAATATGCAACATAAAAAACAGTTTCGAAGTCTAAAACATTGTGGACGAAGCTCACAATGACATCATAATAGAATTCAAGAACATCAAAAGTTTTGCACATTAAAAACTTTGATTTGACACATGCTAGATCGCCTCGGCAATGCAAGGAGATCCTTTAAGACAGCTGGATTTCCTTGAGATTGCAAATGCAGAACAAGTTTCTTGAGATTTACAGAGTTCTCTACAAAGTACCTTGCAACTTCCAATGCACCATCATCAGGTGCGTATTCGGTTTTTATCTCTACAAATTCGAGCGATGTCAACAAACACTTAGGAACGGAGCAGACTCTCATTTCAACCATTTCGTCCTTGTAATAATTGAAACAAGTTAAACCCTATAAATACATAAGATGAGTTAATATATATGCTAGATATAACAAGAATTCTCTAATCGCATGATTAATTTGAAACTCTAGGGTTGGTGACTTGGTGCAAGTCATTACCAAGACGATGGATTTTAGATTCGGACAGCTTTCAAGAAGCTTTGTAAAGACGTCCATGAATGTCACGGATGTTGAATAAACGTTTGCTTTCAAATAGGACAAGTTGCAAAACTGTGGCAATGAATCAACTTTCAAATAGGAAAAGATTAACTGCTTGCAAAAAAGAAACGAAGAGAAGACTATGGGTTAGCAAAAGTTGTATATAGCATTATATATATAATGAAGTTCAAAGAAACATACCCCCATCAGATTCTGAGAGATGATCAGATCCCTAACTCTCGAGATACCGGTGAAAAAATTATGGGCCATTTGATGCTCTGAACAGCCAACTACACTTGATATATCAAAGGAGCTAAGAACGTTGACCTTAACTAAAGAACTCAAATTTCTTACGATTTTACTTAGCGATCTTTCGTAGTTGAAAGTCAAATACTTGAGTCTAGGCGCATCAATCACAAGCCCCGAGTTCTCTCTAACCTTTTTAGAATAATAATTGTACTTTCGAATTAAGTCACCAGGATTATATCCTACACTAAGACTGGTTAATGATTGAGAATGCACTCGTAAAACCTTTACATTATCATCCATCCTAACAATGGTCAAATCTTCGAGGACGGGGCAAGACGAGATAAGCGACTCCACACTCGCCTCATTAGGATATATATTTCGTTCTAAACACAAAGTCTTAAGACGAGGTAAAGAAACAGACTCAAAGTTACCCATCAATACCCGATAGAGTCTTAAGTGAAGGAGCGTCTCACAGATATAGAGGCTTACGGGCATCATTTCCCAACACTCACGCCACAGTGCAAAACCACCAAACTCAACATCAAGATGTGTAAGGTTACCCCTAGCCACAAAGTCTATCCAAGGCGT